AGAATTACGCTGTCTATGTCCAAATATGGGACAATCTCCAAGATACAGTATAGTCAATTCAAAGAACATAATGTGTGACCTAACGTATAGCTCAAAGCAAGGTCGGAAAAGTGTTAGTGTTTTGAAGTTTGCTTTCCATCGATCTTTTTTTTTTTTTTTTTTTTTTTTTTTGAGAGGGGGTCTTGCTATGCAGTTGAGACCCGGCTTGAACTCACTATGTAGTCCAGGGTGGCATCAAACTTGCTGTGGTCCTCCTGCCTCAGCCTCCCAAGTGTTGGGACTGCAGGTGTGCACCACCATGCCCGGCTAAGGCCGTTTTCCTAATATGCCGTCATATCAGGATCTTCAAATGGATGTGTATCATTATATAGTATGTCCTGATATATATTATTATATATTATATACTTAACATATATTACATCCTGATATAAGGATTATGTAATGCAAACTATTTGATATTAAGTATAAATAATCTTAGTGTTTGCTTCTCAATATTGAAACTGTTTGTAGCAATATACAGTTAATTTTGAACTTGATAATTACTGCTAATTCATTGCCAGGAATTGCTTTGGGTCTTATGACAAAAGTTAAATGACTTTTGTAGTTAATTAAACCCAGTAATTTTTTTTATATTTACAGGTTCTAACCTGTAAAAATTGCCACATTGTGTGTTGTTATTTTTAATCTTTATGTACATTTCTCCAATGTGAAATCTTTTTAATTTCACAGACAGTAGCTCTTGATGGAACACTCTTTTTAAAATCCGGGGTCATCTCTGGAGGATCAAGTGACCTAAAACACAAGGCTCGATATTGGGATGAGAAAGAGTTAAAGGCGCTAAGAGACCAAAGAAACCAGCTGGTGCAAGAGCTAAAGGTACATCATGTCCTAGAAGTTTGAAACTATCAAGGAACATAATTATGTTTTTAAAGTAGCTGGGGGTGGTATTTTTGTGTATTTGGTACAGGGTCTCACTACGCAGCTTAGACTCGTAGTGATCCTCTTGTCTTCACCCTTCCCAGTGCTGGGATTACAGGTGTGTGCCACCACACCCAGACTTGGTTGCGGGCCCTGCATGCCTGCGGGCAGGGCCGGCACGGCATGTGGTACCAGGGATCAAACCCCGGTCTCTGCGCTTGCCTACGCAGGCACTTAGTCTGCTGAGCTATCTTGACAGCCCTGGCTGGGATTTCTTAAAAGTAAAGCGTGAACTGCAAATTTCCTGTGCATGTTTAGCTTTGGGTTGTTATTCTATTGCCTATTTTAAGAATTATTTATATAACAAGTAAATTTGTCCTTAGTCATAGGAGCTGTATTTTCTCTGACTTTTTAGTTGACTCTATTGGGATATAGCGTACATACAAGGACAGGCTTTGGCCAATGTGTGCAGTCATGTCAGCACCACCACGCATGACCCAGAGCACTGCTGTCCCCACACAGCCCACCACTGTCCCTGGGCCCCGAGGCCTGCCAGCTCACTCGCTTCCTGTCCTTGAAGTTTCTCCTCTTCTGGGCTTGGTGGGAGTGGGCTTGTGGAGTCAGTCTGTCATGGCTTCTTCATTTAGCCTGTTTCTGACATCTGCCTTGTTATATACTACTGCATATTAGAAGTTTATTCCTTTTCATTGTCCACTAAGTTTGACATTTTACTTTGTTCTTCATGCATGTGTATAATCTTCATGTAGCCAAATCACAAAATTTTTTTATAACTTCTGGATTGTAGAATGTGTCTGGTAGGGCCAGGGATATAGCTGAGCACACAGTGCCTGCCTGGCAAAGCGCAAGGTCCTGACTTCGATTCTTGGTACAAAAAAAAAAAAAAAAAAAGAGAAGAATGTGTCATGTGTACCTAATTCTAAATATCGCAAAAGAAATTCAATAATGCTTCCATCTAGAGCTGAATTGCCATTCTGTAAAAGTCAGTTGTTGAATACTGTCAGCATTCCATGTAAAATAGCGATTTAATAGATACAAATTCCAAAGAATGCTTTCAGATTTTCATTTTAGATGTTTTCATTTTTCCTCACCAATCTTCAACTTTTGTATACAAAGATACCAGTTTTTGATCCAAGAAGGCACTATGACTAGGTTGCTTTACTAGTTTTAATCTTTTTAGTATATGTGCTGCCAAAGCACATATTTTTTATAGTTTTAATCTTTAAGTGTAAGAGCAAATTTTGTTTTAGTCTTAAGATTATGTCTGAATTATAGAGTTAATAAACTGAGGCGTAGGCAGAGAACTCTGAGATGAGCAACTCAAAATGCATCTGCCTCTTACCTGCATGCACACTGAGCTCCCCGAGCCTGGTGACAGTGACCTGGGCCCCACACAAAGAACATTACTGCCTTAAAAGGCAGGAATTTCTGGCCTCTGCTGCAACATGGAAAACCTTTAGGAAAGTTCAGTAACTCAAATAAGCCAGTGACAAAGAACAAATACTCAATGATCTCACTAATGAGGTCCCTAGAGAGTCGATTCAGTGACAGGAAGTTGATGGTGGTTGCCGTGGGCTGGAGAGGGGAGGGGTGAAGAGTTGTTTGGTGGGAGATAAAGTTTGTACACACATGCACGGGTTTTCAAAATTATGTATGGCAAATGCTGTATAACCTATCTCAAAGGGTGGTTGAAAAGGTGAGTGAATAAGTTTATAATAAAAAGTGTGAGGAATGGTGAGATGAGAGTTTTAGAAGTGGAGTATTTCAAATAAACTAATGGCAAGTATCTTTAATAATGTTAATGTTTTAATTTAAATATTCAGCTTGACTTGGAGCGGGGAGGGCAGGGAGATAGCTCAGAATAAGCCCTTGCCTGGCAAGCGCAAGGCTCTGAGTTCAATCCCCGGTACTACAAAAAAATAAAATAAAATAAATATTCAGCTTGGCATGGTGGTATATGCCTGTAATCCCAGCACTTGGGAGGCTGAGGCAGGAGGATTACTGTGGGTTCAGGCCAGCCTGGGCTGCATCGCAGAACCTTGTCCCAAAAAACAAACAACAATTTTACTATATTTTTACTCTCCCCATGTGTCCATGTGTCAAAGGTTAATGGCAGTGTCTCTCAGACAGAAACACAGTGTGCCCTCCTCCGCCGTGCTCATTACATCTGGCACCACACAGCTTCTGCCTTTTCGCTAAAGTCAGAATTACTATGGAAAGTAAATGCTTCGGTTTGTGGTACTGAAGCAGCCACCACAGCACAGCCGACACTCAAGAAACAGGACTTTTAGACCTGCCTCAGGTGGTGGCCATAGTGGTGGGATACGTGTGTTTAGACTGTAGTATTTTGAGGAGGTTAATGGCAGCATGTCTTTTACTTTAATTTGACTTGGAGTGTTTGATTGATCCATGGTCCAGGGCTGGGAATATGGGTGGGTGCTATATGGGTGGGTGCTTTTTTTTTTTTTGCTGTACCAGGGATTGAACTCAGGACCCTGTGCTTGCCAGGCAAGCACTTATTCTACTGAGTTATCTCTGGCCCAGTGATTTTTTTAATTTTTAATTTTATTTTTTTTTTGGTTGGGCAGTTTCAATAATTAACACATTGCATCCAGTAATTTTTTTAAAAATGTTAACTTTCACTGTATTATTTTAGTCAGACCTCATACATTAGTGAACTATGCAAGCCAAAAATCATATGCTTAGATGTAGAAAAAGCATTATATAAAATTCAGCAGCTAATCCCAATTAATACGCTAAGTAATTGGTGGAAATTATTTGAATACAATGGTTTGTACAAAAAACTAACAGATTACTTAAGTTACGTAGTGAAACACTAAAACCATTTTAGTCTTAGTAGGTAGGTGTCTGCTGTCACCATGGCTAGCCTTGTACTTGTGGCAGTCTTTCTGCCTCAGCATCCTGAGTGCTGGGACTGAAAATGTGCAGCATCATGGCTGGCCTCAAGAGTATACTTTAATGCTACTAGATTTTACAAGATGATGAGATGGCTAATTGAAATCTTTAATTTTTCTCTAGCTTATCAAAAAAATCTAAAAACTAGCCTAGGCATCACTGAGTGCTGTAATCCCAGCACTCAGGCTGCTGAGGCAGGAGGATCTCAAGTTCAAAGCCATCTAGGAGTACATAGTGATTTGAAGGGTAGTTCGAAATACATACACCTGGTTTCAAGAACAGAACAAAACAGCACCTCTTACCGTTTGTATCTAAATGCCCCCAAAACCCCACGCAGCCATGGGAGTGCTTCTAGAGTGTTTGATTGGTCCATGGTCCAGTGCTGGGAGTGTGGGTGAGTGCTACACCCTCGCTAGAGCAGGTAGCCTGCATGTGGTATAAGGCGGGGAGAGGCTTGGTCTCCGTCCCTCTTCCCTTTTGCTCTGTTGCTTTTGCTGTTTTCAGCTGCCATGAACTCTTGTCCTCTGCCATGTGCTACGCTACTTTGGAGCCAGCTGAGTATGGACTGAAACCTCCACAAAATAAGCCTTTCGTCCCTTAATTCTTGGTGTCAGGTATTTTGTCTCAGCAAAGAGAAAAACATAACCAAGACAGCACCTAAAAATTGCAAAAAGAAAGACAGACAGACAGACTGACTGACTGACTCCTTACAACAGTAATACAAGTATCAGGGCAATTAGCAACAATGGAAAACTAAGTGTTATTAAAAGAAATACATCTGAAAGAAAAGATAAACTATATTTATGGATTAAAACTTCTTCAATTAATAAATAAATATAATTTTAAATAAAAACAGCACTGATTATTTTCAATTTGAAAATTGATAATCCTACAAGAAGACTTTCCGGAGATTAAAAAAAAATGTAACAATCTGGGCGTGACATTGTTTGCTTGTAGTCTCAGCAACTCAGGCAACTGAGGCAGGAGTTTGGTACAGCTCAAGCAGCATAGGAAGACCCTGTCTCAAAAAAGCAAGCATCCTGTGCGGTGCGTGCCCGTGCTCCCAGTCTCCTGTCGGGATGGGAGGTGGGGTGTGGGTCTGCCTGTGGGAGAAAATCAGTGAGATGTCTGTATGAAAGCGCTTGGAAAGGGGGAGTGCTCTTTTCTGTGGCAGAATGCTGTTGATTTCCCTTGCCTTTCAGGACTTAATGAAGGTACTCCGCAAGGAGACAGACTTGAAGCAAATACAGACCCTAGCGCAGGGAACCCAGACACGACTCAGATATTCACAGAGTGAAATAGAGATCATTAAGAAGAAGCACCTTGTTGCTGCTCAGCAGGTAGGTGACCTACCTAAAATTTGGTGGAAATTAGAACCAGAACAAGAAGTTTCAGGGATTAATGTACCAGCATATGATTTTTAGGTATTTTTACTCCCTGATTAAGATTATATTACAATCATTTGATTATTTGTCTGATATGTAATCTTACAACGCAGTTGTGCCAGCATCATCTTTGTTCATGAACTCTCTTATTCTGAAAGATACCCACGTTTTGGGCCTCACTGTGTAAATCTCAATTAGCTGTATTGAAAAAGGAACTTTTTCTCTTGTTGCTAGGAGCAATCTCAGCTACAGAGTGAGCTACTGAACATTGAATCTCAGTGTGCTATGTTAAGTGAAGGAATCAGAGGACGGCAACAGAGAATTGAAGAATTTCAAGGAAAGATAGATAAGGTGATGCATGTTTTACTGACTATTAAATGTCTGCAGCGCTGGGCCAGATACCAGACTGAGGCTTCCTGAACGTATGCTGAAGCAGGGCTGACACAGGCCGCAACGCTACTTGTAAACTGCCTCACAGATTTGCCAACTTAATTTTCTCGCAGCCTTTTCTGTTGTTGTTTTTGTATTTTTAGACAGGGTCTTGCTGTGCAGCCAGGCTGGCCTCCCATTCATGGCAGTCCTCCTACCTCAGCCTCTAGAGTTCTGGAACTACAGGTGTGCGCCATTGCATACCTCGCGTCTGTTGAGAACCACTGCCAAGAGGCAAAGACCAGCGCCGTGTCTGCTGTGCGCAGCCTGTCCTGACCTGCTGTGACAGTCACAACCTCCTTCTTTTTCCAGTGCCCTTAACACTAGCAGGGAAAGAACTTCCTTCATGTTTTCTGGTTTTGGTTTCCTTGTTAGCAGTACTGGGGATTGAACCCAGGGTCTCTGCACTGAACTACATCCACAACCCTGTTTCATTTCTTATTTTGAGACAAGTTCGCACTGTGTTGCCCAGTTCTCAGATGTCTGATCCCTCTCTCTCGGCTTCCCAGAATGCCGCAGTTACAGGCGTGTGCTGCATGGCGGGCTTGTCACTGTTTTTTGACATTTATTTCATGCCAGGCACAGTGCTTGGCTCTGGGGCACCCTGCCTCCATTTGTGAAGTGACAGACACAGCTAGGTTTCCCTGTCGTTTGACCACAGCTGCTATAATGTGCACCTCTTGCTTTTAGTTCTGCCTTCTTTGCATAACTTGAAATCATAATTACATTGAGTCTTAATTATCTCGAGGTTAAACGTCCCCAGTGTCTTAAACCATATCACGTACCATAAACCTATGACTGGGTCTAGAAACTGTCCTCTGATGCTGTGTTGTTTGTCCAGGCCCAGAACAAAACAATGTCAAAGCGTGGTCTTAGCGCATTTCTATCTAGTAGTAAATTCACCTAAAACTAAAAGCTTTTAACATGTCCTCCTGTTAAACAGGTCTTTCTCATCCTGTAATTATACATAAATGCAAGATTTTAAAACTATTGTGGTTAAACATTTTATTGGATTTAGTTCATTCTATTGTTCATTTTATTTATTTATTTATTTTTATGGTACGGGGATTGAACTCAAGACCTTGTGCTTGCCAGGCACCGCTGAACTATATCCACCAGCCCTAAGAATTTTTTTATTCTTATTCTTTTTTAAAAAAAAAATATTTATTTATTTGTGTGTGTGTGTGTGTGTGTGTGTGTGTGCACGCGCGCGCACGGGGCCAGCTCAGCCCACCAGGGGGCGGGGCTGGCTGGCACGTGGTGCTGGGGGATTGAACTGCAGTCCCTCTGCTTTGCTAAGCTTGTTCTAAGTAGGTGCTTTAGACCACTGAGCCATCTCACCAGCCCTTTTATTCTTTTTTTTTTTTTGCCCTTTTATTCTTATTCTTATGTTCTAAATCTCTTGGAGTGTCTTAGGTGCCATTACACTACTCATATATGATGAACAGTTTCTTAGCTGAATGCAGTAGTGTACATCTGTGATTCCAACTAGTCAGGAGGCTTAGACAGGAATAGCACAAGTTTAAGGCCATCCTGGGCATGTAGAGCAATCCTGTCTCAACTAAAAAGAGCTGGGGATGTAGTTCAGTGACAGAGGACAGGCTTGGCATGAGCAAGGCCCTGGTTTCACCCTCCAGGACCCCCCAAAAATAAGTAGAGTATTATATTTTGGTGTGACTATTTTATACTAACAGAATATAAACTCCAAGCATCTAATAAGGCCAGTTTGTGAACTCTTAGTTTTTGAACAAGAAATTGAGATGGGCAGAGCTCGTAGAGATGAAGAGAAAGAACTGGGTAAATATAGGAGTGCTTGGTCTGCGTAGTTTTGTTCTAATGTAGGAAAATTTTGGAGTGAAAAGCTTACATTTAAGCATTGTCTGTTCCTTATGATTAGACGTTAAACCAGTTGTTTTCATATAATTTTAAAGGTAGAAGATGAAATCTTCCATGACTTCTGTGAAGAAATTGGCCTGAAAAATATTCGTGAATTTGAAAATAAACATGTTAAACAGCAACAAGAAATTGATCAAAAAAGGTAATTGTATTAAAAGACACTGGTAGTCTGTTTACATTTGTAACAGTAGTATACCTCATTTAGAGGAGGTATGCCTGAGGTAGTCTTCGTTCAGTTCATCAAGAAATGGCAAGTGAAAACTCATTTTCTTTAAAGGAATGAAACAAAAACTTGAATTAAAAAAAGGCATACTAGTTTTTTTAACCAGGAAATTCAATATTACAAAGAAGTTGGTTCTTTTTCAAATAATCTTCAGTTTAAATTCATCTTACTATATGTGTGGACAAGATTTGTTTTTTTTTTTAATAAGTTTTTTTTTATTTATTCATTTATTTGTGTGTGTGTGTGTGTGTGTGTGTGTGTGGCCAGCTCAGCCCACCAGGGGGCGGGGCTGG